TCACTGATAAAGCCAAAATAACTAAAAATTAATAAGAAAGTTCACATCCTAAGGAATAGTATATAAGCGAGGGTTTAGCTATGGAGGGAAAATAAACACACAGCACAACTACAGCCTAATTTACAAAAGTTCAGATTTAGGATTACTAGAAAATTTCCACCCACAAAAATTTCCTGGTCTAATCTTGAAAAGTCAGGAAACATCCAGAAGCCATTCTCAAGGGTACCCATAAAAACATCTGCAAAAATTCCAGAACTCCCATATAGAGGAAATGGTTTTGGCTTAAAGACCAGGGAAATTATTGGGTGAGTCATTCCAAATGTGGCTTCCAGTAAGTAACCAGAGTATTTCAAGGGAATAAAGGCAAAAATGAAACCAGTAAAACTAGATAAAATAAGTAAGGTCAGCAATGGTAAGAATAAATGGTGCTCACATCTGAATACCACTTCCGTTTGCAAGGCACTTTTGCAACCTCAGACATTGACGCTGAGAAAGTTAGGCGTCTTGCTAAAGGTCATAAAGCCACAATGAGCCAAGGAAAGGAGTTGAGAGATGTGCCAACATCAAGCCTAACACTACTTTGTTTCTCTGGACTTGTAAGTGTTTTAGACAGGTCTAGAACACTCCTTAAGCTGCCTTCACTGAGAGCATCTGTCTTCCAAATTATTCAAGACGCCTTCCAATGTAATCCAGATAAGCCAGAGAGAGAGTTCTAGAAAATACCTTCAAAGAATCAAAAGTTCCACAGCACGTGGAGAGAGAATCTTCACTTTCTCCACCCCCAAACTGTTGGCAGAAAATTGCAAAGTGCCAAGAATGTAAGTAATACTCTTCCGTTTGTATAAAAGCACTGGAAAGGAATACATGGAAATGTCATCCCTTGTCCACACATATATTATCTTTTAAAAGTCAGGTAAGAAATTGCCAAGAGTGGTTGGTTGCTATCTCCAGGGGATGCAAATGGTGGCCAAGGAAAAAGGAAAGAATGAATTTTCAATATGTGTATTCCCTTTTGGAACTTCAGAATTTTGAAGCACATCAAAATGTTATCTTTTTCAAAAAAGTAAATTTTTTAAAAGATTTATTTATTTTTATTGGAAAGGCAGATATACAGAGAGGAGGAGAGACAGAGAGGAAGATCTGTCCAATGGTTCACTCCCCAGCGACCACAATGGCCAGTGCTGCACCAATCTGAAACCAGGATCCAGGAGCTCTTCCGGGTTGTCCACGCTGGTGCAGGGTTCCAAACATTTGGGTTGTCCTTGACTGCTTTCCCAGGCCACAAGCAGGGAGCTGGATGAGAAGCAGGGCCGCAGGGATTAGAACCAGTGTGTGCGAGGCGAGGACTTCAGCCACTGCACTATCGTGCCAGGCCCTCAAAAAAGTAAATTTGGGCCCAGCGCGGTGGCGCAAGTGGTTAAGGTCCTCGCCTTGCACTCCCGGGATCCCATATGGGCGCCAGTTCTATCCCAGCAGCCCCGCTTCCCTTCCAGCTCCCTGCCTGTGGCCTGGGAAAGCAGTCGAGGACATCCCAATGCTTTGGGATCCTGCACCCGCGTGGGAGACCCGGAAGAGGCTCCTGGCTCTGGATCAGCATAGCATCGGCCGTTGCGCTCACTTGGGGAGTGAATCATCGGATGGAAGATCTTCTTCTCTGTCTCTCCTCTCTGTATATCAGCCTTTCCAATTAAGAAAAATAATAATAATATTTTTTAAAAAAAAAGTAAATTTAACCTTGAAAATACGTGATGGGAGTTGGAACAGAGGCAGTGCTTAGGTGATAGAGCATGAAACACCTCAGAGACAGGATGTAGCAGAAGAAGGGAACAGTTAAAAGTTCTTACTATAAAGTTTGTGTTAGAGTCCAGAATTCCACGTGCTATTTCGCAGACTGAAATAAATGTTCTTCAAGACTATCAAATTTCTTCCACTCTAATTATTGGCCAATTCAACCATGACACTGAGACAGGTGTATCTCAATAGTGGACTCAAGTATTCTGGTCATAGGAAAGGCAGAGCCTCTCATGATAAATAACATTGCATCCAGTTTATGCCAATCTCTGAAAAGGCTGTTAGGGAGTTAATCCGGGCCCAGGGATAAAAGCTGGAATTGTAGAGCAAAAGACCAAATATGAACGACCTGTCCTACAAACAGTCCCTCCAAATAGAACCTGGCTTAGGTAGCCGGAGTTACCACTGACAGATCAGGAATTTTTAGTATTTTGTCCTGTTAGTCCACAAATTTATCCGAAAGGTTCATTAACTTCAGTATAAGGAAATGACAACTCACATTTTGACAAGATAAGGCAATTTTTTTAAGGCAGCATTGAAATAGCTTCCTTTCCCACCCTAAAATTGCTCTAGGGCCTCCCAGGTCACTGGGAAACCTCCTGTTAAAATTCTCTGCAGCAAGAAAACCTTTAAGTTAAAAAAAAAAAAAAAAAAAAAACCTGCTAAGTCAAAAGACCATTGCAATGCTTACTAGAAATCTCACTCATTAAAAAAGGGTGAGATTTTAAAAAGGAGAGTCATTTTCAAACACTGATTTGGGAATAAGTCAGCCATACTGCTCACAGGTCTGTAGTCCAGTCACGTCATCTGATGGAATATTGACTGGTGACCACGCATTGACCAATCCTGCTCATTCAGTTCTCAGTTATTTAAGAACGGACCTGAGAAACTCAGATGAACTCAAACCCAAATCTTTATTCAGTCAACAGTTTTGAAATTCTTCCTCCAAGTGTCTCTTCCTTGTACCATTTTGATTGGCTGACAGCTGTCCATGTAATCATCACAATGACCAAAAGTAAAAAGGAGGAAGGAGAAATGAGTAAGCAGGACGCAAAGGGTGGAATAGGCTGGATAATTCACCAAGAGTCGAGGCCTCAACAAATACCTGTTTAACATAACTGAAAACTCTCGTGTTGTCATTTCATTTTTACTACAATAGCCAAGTCACTGAAGCCACCAAGGTACACGTCAGACTAACTGGAAAAGAAACTGCTTCTGAATCCAGGATTTTCTCCTCAACAGGAGTTAGTAAAGTTTACAAATAAGCAGTTGCTAGCTCTTATTAAGAACTGACTAGTGATTTGTTACCTGTTCCCAGGTAAAGCTACTGTTAAAAACCTGAAACAAGTAGAAAATCAGCCTCCCTCTTTCATATGCTGTATTTGATTGGAATATGAGTGCAAGAGTATTTTAAGAAATGGAGGAGGGGGCCTGGCAGTGTGGCCTAGTGGCTTAAGTTCTCACCTTGAACGCGCCAGGATCCCATATGGCCGCCTGTTCTAATCCCAGGAGCTCCCACTTCCCACCCAGCTCCCTGCTTGGGGCCTGGGAAAGCAGTCGAGAACCGCCCAATGCTTTGGGATCCTGCACCCACGTGGGAGATGTAGAGGAAATTCCTGACTCCTGGCTCCAGATCAACACAGCACCGGCCGTTGCGCTCACTTGGGGAGTGAATCATCAGACGGAACACCTTCCTCTCTATCTCTCCTCCTCTCTGTATATCTGACTTTGTAATAAAAAAAAAAAAATCTTTAAAAAAAATAAAGAAATGGAGGAGGAATGGTAATAATCATCAAAATGGCATCTGACTCCCCAAAAGTAGCAGTGCTCACTCCAGCTGTGCCTTCTCTTTCACCCAAGCTCTGTCAATTGAAGATCCAAGGAAACAGGAAGGCCAAGATATGCTCAGAAATGTTACACCCAATCCTCTGATAGACCCAACACAAGAGTTAAGAATGAACCTTCCCAACGGTAAAGTGGCTCTAAAATACTTCTTGGTAAATGCAAAAAGTCAGGAAAGCAGTGCTTTCCTAATGGTTCACCCCATTCACCTATCGATAGAGGTCACCAAAATCTACTAGTATGCATCTAAATCAATGTCTCATTCCCCGTCCTACTTACATAACCTTATGCTAAAATAAAAGGGAATTCAGTGAAAGCATCGATTAAGCATGTACTTCCTTTCTTAAAATAACATTGCGTTTTTGTTTTATGCTGTCTGCCTGGTGTACCACGTGGCAAAGCCACCGCATTATGAACAAAAGTCAATGAAAAATAAGCCTCTCCCATATAAAGGATAGTATCTATTACTGTCAAATGCAAACATTTCCTAATCACTAAGCCTTCCTATCACGTTGAATTTTAATGGTATTAAGAACATGAGTCCTGAGGACACAAAAAACAAAGACTGAATGTTTTTGGCAACGATTACATTTCACCATTCGAAGGGTAAGCACCATGGAAGCCACGAATTCAATGAATTATCTGCTTCTTTCCACCAAAATCTGCTAGCTTCTGCCACCTCTCTCTCTCTCTCTCTCTCTCTCTCTCTCTCTCTCTCTCTCTCACACACACACACACACACACACACACACACGCTCCAGGCCTCCAACGCACTCCACACTATGCAGAAATCCGCACTGTGTCAGTGCGTGAGGCGGCTTCCCACAGCATTCATCCAGGAAGAGGCAAGCCGCCTCGGCGCTGTGTCAGATCTCAGCGAGGCTGTCAAATGACAGGGGCCGCTAACCAAATAGCAAAGAGCAGGTGGCCACACCACCTCTCAAAATCACCAAGCACTTTAGTTTTCCCATCGCTCATCTCGTCATCTCTCTCTCTCTCTCTCTCTCTCTCTCACACACACACACACACACACACACACACACACACACACACACACACACTGCAGTTCATCCTCAGCTTTGCTACACTGGCTCCGGACTGACAGTCGGCCCAGAACTCATGCATCACCCACAGAAACGCAGACGTTCTCACCTGAACACACCAGGCTCCTTGCACCCCCGATACACACACACACACGCCCCCACCTCCCAATCTCGCCCTCCCACGCCAACCCCCGAGCTGCCGGAAACCCAGCAGCCTCCCGATGACTGAGCGGCCCTCAGCTCCCGAGAGCCCCCCCGCGACCAGGCCACCCTCCCGGGGCGGCCCCTCCGCCTGCCCCTCGCCCACCGCGAGAGATGCGCTACCTTTGGACTGGCAGTCCGCACAAAACTTGTTATCCTCCTCCAGCAGCAGGTTGGCCAGGACCGCCTGGTACCGATCCACGTCCTTCACAGACTTGCCCGTCATGGCCAGGGTGTCGGCGGGGGCAGGGGGCGACGTGCCCTCCTCGCCCCCAAAGAAACCCCTGTCCCAGTCCGGAGATGAGGACTCCCGGTCCCCGGCCCAGGGGCGCCTCCTGAGCGGGGGTCAGCGACCCCTCCTCTCGCACCCGCTCGAGCCCCTCACAGGGGTCCGCGGCGCCCGCCTCCACGCTGCAGCCCCCTCAGCGCGGCGCCTCCTGGCGGGCTCAGGGAAAGGCCCGAGTCCAAGGACGCTTCCGGACCGGAGACCCTCAGGTCAGGCAAAGGCAGCCCTCGGGCCTCCCGGGTGCCGGACGCAGTGATGACCCCAGAGCCCGCTGCTCTGCGGCCCTTCAGTCCCGCGCCTCGGTTTCCCTGGCAGCTGCCGCCTGCTCTGCCACCACCTCCACCGCCTACTTCCGGCAGCTCTTCCTCTCCTCCTCCCCCTCCACCCTGCACGGCCCGCGCATGCGCTCCGCCCCCACCGCGCCGTACTGGGTTCTTCCCTCGGCTCCGCCTCTCAGGGACCAATCCGGGGAGATGTGAGGGGCGGGGCTTAGGGCTACGGGCGCAGAGGACACGCCCCCGGCATGTCCTTGGAAAAGAATGAATGGAGCCCGGCAGAAAAGGAGGAGAGGGCACGAAAGAGTGCAGAAGGACAGGAACGGACGTTTGCTGAGCTCTTAACTATGTGCCAGGCGTTGTGCTAAAGCTTTACATGAATTTTCCCCATGAAGCTTTACGTGTTGTTCCTCACAGTACCCTTATGAATTAAGAACTTACCATCCTTATGTAAGCCCCAAAGTCCTTCAAACTTGTTCCTTCCTCCAAGGACCAAATAGAACAGACCAACCTCTGCCCCCATTTCCAGAGGATTCTGGTCACCTCTTCCCATGAATACCTATTCCCACCCATAACCTTTAACTTCCCTCTTCTGACTGGAGTTGTCTTGGACCTTCTCTAGCTTAGTGCCTGCACGATTCATTTCTTCATTCTCTCCCTAACTCCCCTCAAAACAGCGATTTGGGCTAGCCGACTTTTACTGAAGCTTGCTGGGGAAGGAGGGGCTTTGTAACAAAGCACATTGATAACTATTTTAAAACGGCTAGTAAGCCTGTTGTCCAGGGGTAGGCGCTTAGCCTAGCGGTTAAGAGGCTGTATCTTACGCCACAGTGCCTGGGTTCCATACTTAGCTCCAGCTCTGGACTCCAGTTTCCTGCGTAAGCCAACTCTGGGAGACAATGGCTCCAGCAGTGGGTTCCTGCCTCGCATGAGGGAGGCCTGACTGAGCTCCTGGTGCCAGTTTCAGTCACTGCAGACATTTGGAGAATGAACCACTGGATGAGGTCTCTCTCCCTCTCCTCACTCTACCTTCCAAAGAAATGAATTCATTGAAAAAAAAAAAAGCATTGCCTAAAACCATCTGTATTACAGAGAATATCTCAGTGGTTTCCTTTTTTTTTTTTTTTGGTAAAGATTTATTTATTTTTATTTGAAAGGCAGATTTTATAGATAGAAAAGGTGAAATGGAGAAATCTTCCATCCTCTGATTCATTCCCCAAATGGCTGCAACAGACTGTCCTCCACTGCTTTCCCAGGTCATAAGCAGGGAGCTGCATGGAAAGTGGAGCAACTGGGACACAAACCAGTGCCCATAGGGGATGCCAGCTCTAGCAAACCTTTTTTTTTTTTTTTGCTATCTAGCTGGTGTTTTACCCCATTTACTTTACCAACACAGTTCTAGTTATCAAACACTGCACTTTGGGAAAGACACAAAGTGATCTGATTTGTGGTTTTAAAAGATCACTCTGGGGCCCAGCGCCATAGCCCAGCAGTTAAAAGTCCTTGCTTCACTTTGAGCCGGGATCCCATATGGATGCGGATTCTAATCCTGGCAGCCCCACTTCCCATCCAGCTTCCTGTTATGGCCTGGGAAAGCAGCTGAGAATGGCCCAAAGCCTTGGGATCCTGCACCCACACAGGAGACCTGGAAGAAGGTCTTGGCTCCTGGCTTCAGATCGGCATAGTACTGGCCGTTGAGGTCACTTGGGGGAGTGAATCCTTGGATGGAAGATCTTCCTCTCTGTCTCTCCTCCTCTCTGTATATCTGACTTTACAATAAAAATAAGTAAGTCCTGTAGCCCTTGAACCTTCTTACTCTAACTAAGTATGTAAAGAATGTCAAAATAAATTTTATTAATAAAAAAAAAATAAGTAAGTCCTAAAAAAAAATCACTCCGATAGCCACAAAAATAATCAGAGAAGCTGGTATAATCAGATGCTCGGAGCTATCTTATTCCATATTGAAACCCTCTCCTCCAGCTCTTTACTTTCTTTCAAATCCAAGCTCCCTCACAACTTTCATTTCAGGGCTGGCATTGTGGTATAAATGGTGAAGTCACTGCCAGTGTTGCCAATAATCAGAGGGGTGCCGGCTCATATCCCGGCTGCTTCACTTCCAGTCCAGCTCCCTCCTTCCTAATGTTCTGAGAAAGACAGCAGAAGATGGCTGCCACGCATCCTGAGCCATGCCACAGGATGAAGCTCCCGACTGACCTGGCCCAACCCTTGCCGTTGTGTGTCTCTCCTTCCCTCTGACTTTTAAATACATAAACCTTTTTATATATATATATATTTTCCATTTCATCAGAGGAAAAGGGTTCCATTGCTTTATTAATAGAATAATTTGCTTTTCTATTTAAACCTCCTATGTTCAAGGCATGCCCAAGAGGCTTGACTTTTATAAGCACACAAGTTCACTCAGGCATTTTTCCTGAGGAAAAAAAAAAAAAGTCCATCAAAGCAAGGACTACCAGAACCATTTGTCAAGGTCACAAGTACCCCATTAACTGCTGTGCCTGTGCTTAAGTTCAAGCCCTTGTCAGTGTCATTGCTTCACTCTGCCAATTGCCTTCTGCCTTTAGCCTAACTTGAGTTAAACTGATGTTTTACCCAGCTCTTTAGAGAAGCCTTGAAATAGCAAAACTGCTTGAATCCCCCCGTCTTGCTGCAAAGTCCTTTGGTAATGTTCTGTCTGCTACGACAGCGTGATTCGTCTCTAAGAGGTTGTAGACTGGTGGCTGAGCACGCGAACTGCCGGCCAGCTTCACCTCCTTTGGTCCATGGGCAGTTCCTGAGCCCCTGGGTCTCAGCCACTGCCTCTGTAAGATGAAGTGACAGCGATATTAACAACACTACTTCACACGACTGTTTCAATGCTTGGTTAAGAGACTGCCTGTGATAAACCTAGAACAGCTCTTGGCACATGGTAAATGATGGGTAGTAATGCTATTCATTATATATCTTTTGGCTTTTTGTCCTCTGAGCATATGCTGTATTTTATTTCCTGACTCACTTACAGGATATGGCCAATAAGTTTGAGCAGAAAGCATGTTCCTGAAGCTTCCTGCCACCACCACCACCACTATCCTAGTATGATGCTCTCCTGATTCTCTTCCCTCTGGTTTGGTAATATTCAACCTTCAAGATGTTCGTGGCTCTGGGAGAACTGTTTGCCAGCCCATTAAGACACCTAACATATGCAGGAAGTAAGCCTCGGCTGTGTTAAGTCACAGAGCTTTGTTTGCTTGCTAGCTTGCCAAGCATGCCTATCTTATCCGAACTGATACATCAACACTGGCTCTTTGTGGCATTATTAGTAGCAGAGGACCGTGAATGCGCCTCTCAGGGTCTATGGATTTGAACAAAGAAAACCTTTCCTAGTCCCAAGCACAGATATTGGTTTGAAATCTTGAATTTTGTCTTGACAATTCTTACAGAAATGTTCCTTCTATTCCATCATGTACTTGCTTGCTACCTTATTGTGAAATACAATTAGCTATAGAATCTCCTGTCTGACCTGGGGGGCGGCTGGGCACAGTGTGATTGCGCTTCTATGCTTTCCAGAAAACTGATGTAAGTTGAAAAGTTCTGGCACCACATATTTTGACTTCCAGATTTCTGTTCCTGGCCTTTAAATCAGAGTACTTGAAGAAAGAAAGAGGACAAAATAGAAATCAGTTTTTAAGAAGTGCTATAGGAAGAGGTGAGCTCTAGGTAGGGAGAGAAGGAACATGATGACTCAATTGGCTAATCCTCTGCATGTAAGTACCAGCATCCCAAATGGGCAAGGATTTCATGTCCTGGATGCTCTACTCCCCCATCCAACTCCGTGTTGTGGCTTGGTATGGCAGTGGAGGATGGTCCAAAGCCTTGGGACCCTGCACCCATACGCGAGACCCTGAGGGAGCTTCTGGCTCCTGGTTTCAGATCAGCTCACCTCTGGCCATTGTGGCCATTTGGGGAGTGAACCAGCAGATGGAAGATCTTTCTGTCTCTTCTTTTCAATCTGTCTTTCAAGTAAAAATAAATAAATCTTCTTAAAAATCATAAATATATTGGGACTGGATAATGGCTCAGTGGCTAAATCCTTGCCTTGTTAGCACCAGGATCCCATATGGGTACCTGTTTATGTCCTAGCTGCTCCACTTCCCCATCCAGCTCCCTGGTTGTGGCCTGGGAAAGTAATAGAGGATGTTCCAAGGCTTTGGGACCCTGCACCCTCATGGAAGACCCAGAAGAAGTTTCTGGCTCCTAGCTTTAGATTGATTCAGCTCTGGCTATTGCAGCCACTTGGGGAGTGAACCAGTGGATGGAAGATCTTTCTGTCTCTCCTTTTCTCTGTAAATCTGCCTTTCCAATAAAAAAATAAATCTTTTTAAAAATTAAAACCATAAATAAAAACTAAAAATACTATGGAGGCCAATAACTAAAGAGTTAAACCTGTACCTGCAAAAACAGCATGTGCTCCAGTTACAGCCCTAGAGGCTTCTCCTCCACTCCAGCTCCCTGCTTCCTGTTCAGGAACAGCAGAAGATGAACAAGGGCTTGGTTCCCTGTACTCACATGGGAGACCTGGAAGAAAGTCCAGATCCTGGCTTCAGTCTGGCCATACTCTGGCTGTTGCAGTCATTTGGGAAGAGAAAAAGAAAAGGAGGAAAGACCCCTGTCCCTTCTGCTCTCTCTATGACTGAGTCTTTCAAGTAAACAATCTTCTTTTTTTTTTCTTTTTCCATTTTTTAAAATTACATTTTTGACAATCTTTACATAGTTAATTAGGATGAAAAGGTCCAAGAGCTACAAGAAAGTGGGTAACAATATTATTACATTATTTCCTTCATGTATCCAAGGAAAAGGGGGGCTATTAAGGGAGAAGCCCCACACAGTTTCCCACCCACCCTTGCCCTTTGTCCCTGATGTGGGGTATGCTCCGAGGGTCTTGCTCAAGTGGTTTTGATAGTTCAACAGTTATGGATTGCTGCCAATCTCGCCACTCCAAGCACGATGAGGTCTTTGAAGAATCCACTGGTTGACATAGTCCATCTTAGAGTCTCTGTTTGCCCAGTTTTT